AAGGTTATGCCTAGTCATAACATAGTGAGCATCCCAAGTGCCCTTGATATACTGAGAAAAATGGGAGGAGTGGAAGGTTACATTTTCAAATACAGCATATTGGGTGACACAATACTATGGAATTCAGGGTCACAAGTGAGCTTTGCCACATAAACAGAATATCTAGTTGTTCCTGGTGGAGGTCTAGCTCTTGCTGAATGACTACAATGACAGTTCATTTAAGTTATTTTGAACCCCAAAGGCTTCTTCATGGCAGTAGACACAYTGTTCACAGTCTGAGCTGTCTGGAYACTCTGAGTGAGCSAAACAGTGACARTGGCTGCGGCAGCGATGGCGGTCACCAGGGCAATAATCCCAGCGACGATGAGGCTAATTGCAAGCCTTGTCTGGTGTAGGGTCTCATTCAAAAGATTCTTCATCTCCTTGTCCCATGGACTCCGCCAATCTCTGGACAAGGTCACTGGAAGCCAGACTCCTGGGGGCACTCTGAGGATAAATATACGTTYAGCCATCATAGCAGGGGTGAGACAATTTGTGAGCCAGCAGGATGTACTGAGTGCACAAGGGATCTCTGGATGAGTGATATTTATGTCATCAGTATCATTGATTATTAGCACGGCAGTGGGTGGCGTCACACAAGCTTGTGCACAGTGGGTAGGGGTATAATTTGGCATAAAGGCAAATCCATGGTCAGGGTCGACCCATTATTCATCCAGCCAGCTGCTGCCCATTTGATGGGCCTAGCAGCCAGCAATATTGGCATGATATCCATCTCACCATACTGATTCCCTACATAATGGTTGGTAACGGCTTATCCTGTATAGCAGGTACCGCAGTACCCCGTGTGGTTTTGGGGCATACATTCTAGGGAGCTGCACCTGCCCAGGCACATAGGCGTTGTCCTTCCCCAGAGAAATTCCTCTCATCAAGGAGATAAGGTGTGGCAGTGACACATTGATTCCATGGGATGCTGTCATTATCTGAAGGGGGCTTTCCAAAAGCATTGCTGGGTATGTTGGCAGCAAGGGTTTCTTGCATTTGCCACGGGGGAGTCTATGGCTATAGGTAGCATTAACTATAACTATAGGTGAGTGAGAGGCGGCCCAACATATGGCTTATTATAGTTATCTACAAGAGTTTCATTGGCAAGAGCAAAACAGAGGAGACTGCCTGGATTATAGGTCTCATTCTCTACTATGGAGAAACAAACGGGCAGAGTAGGTCTGGAGATGCTGCATTCCAGGGTTTGGTTCCCTCCTGGATTGATAACTCAGGATCAATAAGGTTGAACTGATTAGAGAAGAGCTTAGTAAAGCTCCTTCCCAATTGGCCATTGCTGAAGGTGGTGGCCAAGTGACCAAAGCTCAGTTTACCTGATGGGGGGCTTCACTGTTAACAGTGAGGGCTGTACTCAATAGGACCATCATCTTAGGCCAGGGATGGGGTTGCCACCAGGCACAGGGGCAAGTCTGGTGGCTTAGTCAACAAGACCTTTAAGATCACTCCAGGTTACTTTACATGAGGTCTGTTTGCATTGTTGAGTTCTTTGCTTGTGGGGTTTCCCTCCAGAGCTAGTTCCTTCATCTTCTTGGTTGGTGGTTTTGGGGGTCCTGGGCTTAACTTTCTGGCAGGCACACCTAGCTGGGGTGAGGCTCCTGTTAGCATATACAAACCCTCGACCCATGGTTAGGAGGGGCCCGGGACCATCCCATGCATTTGTTATGGGATCCTTTCATGAGACCATAGGTAGATGGGAGGGCCCCGAGATGGGGGCCCAATGTTTATGGGCTGCTGTTTCTRTAGAAGATTTTGACAGTGAAAGAAAAATTAAATCAAATAAGGTTTTGTCAAGGCATCATGAGGGCACTTAGTATAGTTTTCCCCCTCGGTTTTGTAGCGTGGTCTTTAATTCCGTGTGTGTTCTTTCTATGATGCCTTGATCCTGGGGTTTATAGGGGATTCCAGTTAAATGCTGTATATGCCAACCATTGCAAACCGCTTGAAATGTCTTGCTGGTATAGGCTGGCCCTTTGTCAGTTTTCATAGACATGGGACACCCATAATTCCAAAACACTGAAGTAGATGGGAGGTGACCTTTTGTGGTCTCTCCTGTGCAGGCTGTGACCATTATAGACATCAATAGTTACATGAATAGATGTTAAATTTCCAAAAATTGCATAGTGAGTGACATCCATTTGCCATGAAGCACTAGGTATTAACTCTTGGGGATTCACTCCAGCAGGTGGTAAAGGGCCAATGAGGAGAAAGGGTGCATTTTTTGCCGTCTCTGACTGGCTGTCTGCAAGCCTCCTTAGTCCTGCTTTTATGCAACTGCCATGGCTGAGTCAGCAGAGAGACTTGAGCTGCTTGTGTCCCTATTTCCTGGGTGGCCAAAATCCAGTCACCCAGTGTGCCATTGCTTACTGGCACCACTGCTGCTCTATGTTCCTTATTTAGTCTGTCCCAGGTCAATCCCTTGGCTCAGGCCGCCCTGGCTCCTTCCTGAGACACCTTCCCTTCTACCGCCTCGTTTACCCTGTCAGTAAACTGGCAAGTCCTCAGGAGCTCTGTGCCTTAAGCCCTGTGTAGAAACTGTGCCTCCCCGGGCTGGTAGCTTCCTCCAGGCGCTCAGAGCACAGAGTCACACTTGATGGAAATCATTTGGTGGGCCYGGGGCTTCACTGCAGAGGGTCTGTAGACTCCCTCTCCCTGCGAGCACTCAGCTGGGAGGTCTGCATTCCTGGGGTGGTTATGATCCAATCCCCTGCTGTTCACGTCATTGTCATTGTAGAAGAATGCCTTCCACTTCCAAAGTGTTGGGGCTCAAGAGCGGCTGTGGCTAGGTCTTTCCAGTCTTGAGGACAATTAAGTTTAAGACTGAGCGATTGGAGCATTTACTCTGCAACCCTTGCCACCCCACCCCCCGCCCTCCCCCCCACTCCCCGGCCTATCCTCTTTAACTGCCTTCTTTACCTCCTTCAGGGCACCCAATCCTGTGGATACCCAGGGGCAGGGCGCTGTGCTGTGGGGCCTGCTGACTGGGAAGGCTGTACTCCCTCACCCCACTTCTCGTCTCTTRCCTCACACGACCTTCTGAAGGATCTCTGCCTCCTGGAATGGGTTTCTGGGAGACCATGGCTTGGGCCTGTCCAGGGGCCTGGTCATCTCTAAGCTGTCACAGTCCCTTGCTGGCTTTGGCACTGCCTCATCAGGAGGCAGTTGTCATTGACTCAGGGAAGGGTATGACCTTTGCCTGTCAGTAGGAGGCGCACCTGCACCCCTTGTGGTCCCTCTTCCTGCGCCATGAGGCTGGCGGTCCCTGCCTTCTCCCTCCTGCACCTGCCGTGGTTGCTTGCTTGAGGTAGATTTTTGCCTCCACTTCTTTCCCCTTGTCTGTCTCCCACAGCCTCATCTCCCCTCAGGGCCATCATTATATGACAAGGGTCKGTTGCAGGGCCCCCTAAACTTTGCTGAATGGCTGTCACAATCGGAAAAAAATGTCGTGGTAAAGTATACCCCTGCCTCACTTCAGCTTGCCACACATTTGCCATTATCTCGTCCCATGTCCTAGGATCAGAACCATCAGCAGTATTGATCCACAGATTAGTGTCATTGTTACACCCAGAGCCTGTGGGCTTCTCTTACTCAGGGTTAAACCTCTGGTATCTAAGGGAGTGTGCAGCACTTGCAGCTGCCCGTCTTTGGTGGAACTTGGTAGGTTCCCCATTTCCCTTTCCTCACGTTCTGTGAGGGGCCACACCCTGTCTTAGAGGCTTACCTCAGGTCCCTGCTTGGGGGCCAGCTGTGTGGGCTCTCTCTTGTCCAGCGAGGAGGTCCACRGAACAGGGCAGAGGAGAGTGTGGCTGCGGAGTCACTAATCAAGACCTCCGGAGACCGAGCAGGAAGCAGGTCTGATTTTATTGTGCAGTTACCGTGTRCATACACTCGGGCAGTRGCTCGGCAGATTACAGGCAGCCACCAATGTGATTTCTGGCTAACTGTCCTTGCAGTGACCACTCGAGGAGTGGGCCGTGAGCAAGCGCAGGGACTGCAACACATAGCCTCACGYCCAGGGCTGTGCCTATGGGGTAAGTGTTTGCCACTCACCCGCCTAGCACGAGGGGAGTGGCCTGCCACACAGATGCCCTGTATGCAGTACTCCACGCACTTGTCCCCACACAGAACCATCGGGACTTCCCCGAGAAGGCGAGGAGCAGTAAATCTGCTGGTAAATCTGTCCTTGTTGATAGCAGCCTCCAAGATACGACTGTGGTGCTCTCAGACCTTGAAGTCCAAGTACAAAGAGTTCAAGATCAAAATCATTAGAATGTAAAAAACCCAAGTGGAATTGCAAAAACTGAAAACAGAAATGCCCCAAACATAAACAGTTATATGAATAAAAAGAAAATGCTAAAACCCTAAAWGAAAAATTGGTAAATCCCATGAACCCACAGACTCCTTCCTGCAGACAGAGGCACTTGGAGGGACAAGATCCTCCAGTTTATGTCCTTGGGAGATGGGGCCTTTTCCCTATTCTTGGCAGAAATCTCCATGAATTGGCCAATTTAAGAGTATCTTTTTTWAAAAAAWWTTTTAGTTGTAGATGGACATAATATCTTTAATTTATTTACCTATTTTTATGTGGTGCTGAGGATCCAACCCAGCRCCTCCCRCATGTGAGGCAAGCACTCTGYAGGGAGACAGGGTCTCCTGGGTCRGAGRTTCACAGATTGCAGTCKACTTTCCGGGAGGCTCCCTACGTGAAGGACAGCGCAGCAGATTCCCCTCTCTGCCCTTGGTTCATTCTCTGAAGTGCCCCTTGGCCCTCTTCCCCTTTTATCAAATTAGCAAGAAGCTGGGAAATTAAAAAGGAAGTAGGCGAGAAGGAGAAGCTCAAAGGGAATTGGAAGGAGCAGGAGTGGGTGCCCTGGGCTGTTCACATATCTGGATTCTAGAGAGGACCCAGATTTGCTGGGGACAACAGCCAGGGAGACAGGGCCATGTGGCTGTCCCCAGCTCTGCTCCTCCTCTGCCTCCCAGGTGAGTGGACTGTGTGTGTGTGTGTGTGTGTGAGAGAGAGAGAGAGAGAGAGAGAGAGAGAGAGAGAGAGAGAGAGAGAGAGGCTTGTAAGCAGGGAAGTGGAAGAGAAGGAAGCCTCTTCCCAGGAGCAGAGGGCCCCTGCCAGCTCTTACGTATGTGACATTTTATGGAATTCAAGATTTTCCAAGCCAGAAGGAGCCTGGAAGCTTCTCTTTGTTCTGGCTGCTCATCTGCTTCTGGGATCTTTTTGATTGGAGAAACTGGAGACTCAGGACGCAATTGGCTCTGGAGAGGCTGGCTGTGAGCCTGGATAGRAGGACCCCAAGCTCTCCAGGCAGGCTCCTTTCAGAAGCTGCACATGCGATGGCTGTGACCTATGATTTGCCCCTTGGTAGATTCCCACTGTGGGGAAGTGTGATGCTGAGCTCTGTCCGGGGCTGGAAGGAGGCATGCTGGGAATRCACTGCCTCTAGGAAGGCACTGGTGCCCGGTGGGGTTCACTGCTCCTCCAGTCTTGGGGGGGCAGGTGGCAGTGGAGTCCTTGGGGGACAACACGGGTGTGGAGCAGTGCTTTGGAAGTGAGAATTTCCCTATAATGCAGGGTCCAGGGTGCACAAGGTTCTTACTCATATTAGGACTGCAGAGAGATGGTGGGAGCGTAGAAGGGCGGGGGCAGGAACCACTTTGCTTTGGCTCAGGGAGCAAAAAGGAAGGTGGTAACTGTGGACGCACAGCTTAACTCCTGTTTCTCTCTCTCTCTCTCTCTCTCTCTCTCTCTCTCTCTCTCTCTCTCTTACACACACACACACACACACACACACACACACACACACACACACACAGAGGCATACCATGTGGGCACTCACACATACTCAACTTCAGACCAGGATCCTGTTCTTTCTGAGCTTGCTCAAGTGGTGGAGCTCGGCTGAGCCTCCCCTCCCGGGCTCACGGCCCTCCGCCCCCGGCAGCCGCTCCTCCTCTGTCATTCCTTCCACATCAGCATCTCACATTTTGCATCCCAGATCCAAATCCCTGCTTTCCTTCCAGGTCCCAAACCATCCCACTTGGTTATAGAGGGCAGCGTCCATCCCTCGTTCCCCTGAATGCATGGTGACAGCTGACACYCAGGTGCCAAGGCTGTGATGGGTGGAGATGGCCATGCCCCAACTCAGTGTAAAGAAACCTATCAGGGCCTCCTCTGGACCCAGCCCTTCTTCCCACACGTTGGTTCTTCCTGGAGAGCAGTTAGGATTATCASCAGAGGTTTATTATTCCTTCCTCAAGGACTCATGAAGGGCAGAGGAAACCAGAAGTTRCACTTTGATTATTTTTGAAGTAAAATTTAAAATTAAGATAATTTTGCTTTTTCTTATTTTATATTTGATATTTCTGTATTTACATAATAAAATAGCCCTCTTATGACTAACCCCATGGRTCAAATGAGAAATGGTGGGAGATCAAACTAGAAATGAGTTCTTAGTTTATCTGTATTACTATTATGTATGAGTGCAGTTGGATAATCATTTAATACACACTGCTTAATAGACTAAGCCCAGCATGTTGAGGGTTCTATGTACTTTT